GCTCGCCGACGAGTCCTCCTTCTGGGCCTGGCTCCAGAAGGGGACCCCGGGCTTCCTCCGGGCCGGGTATCCTCACTTCGTGTGTCGTCTTTCATGAGGTCTTTTGAACCAATCTTAGTCTGACCCCTTGCCTGAGACCAATTTGCCATGGGAGACCCTACCAGGAACACAAGGTTCCAGACAACACAGCCCCCAGGTTCATCAGGGCACACAAACCTCTCTACCACGGTAAGGTGCTGGTTCTTCAGAGAGGTAACAGCTAGGAAATATCTTTTGCAAATATTGCTTTTGCTAAGTGGCTTAAACCAGACAATACAATTGTTGGACTGAAAAGGTGTGGAAAATCTATCAGATGGAACAAATGTTCAGATTCTCTGAGAATCCAGACATAAATATTTGTTTAAAAGATGGAGTCCTGCAATTACTGTGCTGATCCGGTAAGTTGGTTTCACCACACCTTCTGAACTATTTCAGTGTCTCAACTTCCCAATCGAGGTGTATCTGGCGGCGGTGGCCTGCACATTCACACACTTACATGGGAGTATTATCTGTATTCTTTCCTTTAATGTTATCTTTCTTTGTATCGGCTTTGTGGATACAGCTGAATGGAAATGGAAAAAATAGTTGACAAAAGATTGAATATGTTCTCGAATAGAACTGTAACTGAAATAAAAACGTTAAAACGTTAAAATAAAAAATACTTTAAGCTCATGACACAATACTACACATTTGAGAAAGTCTTGATTTTGGAAAGTTCTCTTTTTTTTACATAAATCATGAAAAGCCATATTGCCAATCAACCCCAATACGACCCAATCAAAAGAGGATCTGGATGAGCCAGATAATTGAATTACTGAGCCACAAATGAATAGCTTCTGGCCAGCGAGCTGACATCAGCAGCTTCAGATGATGAGTGATAATTCCATTAGCAGCTCTGTGCCACGACCAAGAACACACAAAGGTCAGTGCAGGTTGGGCTCAATAAACACATCCAGAAATAGGCTGTTTATGTCTTTTGAATATTAGAGAGAATAAAAGGCTCTCTGACAGCACTCACTTATGTCTGACCTGTAAAATGTCGTCTGTGTCTGAAAGCTCAGACAGTTTGAACACAGGCTCATGCGTAGAACGGTAGCGGTTTCAGTTAACAGAGGCCGAGGGCTATGCCATGTCACTGCCTACTCTCAAGGAGACACTACACACTCTGCAGGGGACTATAAATGGTTTAAATTGCAGTATAGACTTTTAACATTAAATAAATAAAAGTAATGACAATTTTGGTTGAAACACCTTATCAAAACAATGTCACATCTTTAGGCCTTAATTCACACATACAAAACAGGTTATAAACTAAAATTCCCCAAAACATTAAAGAACACTGCTACAGATATAAATAAATAAGAGTAAACATAGTCAGTCATACTGAGGCCAATTTGCCAAGTCAGCTCTACAATAAATATATTTTAATCGAGCTTAAATTCTGAAGTTAAAGGTAGGGTAGGTAAGAATGGAGAAACCAGCGTAATGAGAGCCAATCTGCACCGCCCGACCCACAGAAAATAGTCATTATAAACTAACAGGATCCGACCCGTAATTCATCAACATTAAGCATTTCAGTGCCATTGTGATACATTTGGACTGAGTTGAAAGGTTTTCTGTTTCTACTTTAACATTGAGTGAAGTATAGCTTGTTCATTTAACAAATTAGCTTCATAACACATTTACATTTTTACATTTGAGTTGTCATTGTAAAAATCCATGGTATTTTACTTGTTCGTATTTCTGCAGAAATCTACTTTACACTACAGTCAATAGAGGTGAAGCTCTCAACACCATGACATACTGAACTAGAGCTAAATGGTGTAAAGATAACGACCATATCGCACTGCACTGCTTTACTCCTTACACTGAGAGCGTGTTGACTGACATTAGATGGAATCTCTAATAAAGACATGTTTGTTTATTTGTACAAAGGAAGATCCATGTTGGAGGATCCAGGGAGATAGTCAGTCTGGTTTCACAGTTTCTCCCCACGTTCCTGTGTGAGCTGCTCGCACGCCAATCCCTCAGATCGCTTTACTAGTCTCTCACCAGTCTGAAATGTTACACCGCTGCCTGGGGGTGTGACCCATGGGTCTTAAGGTCTGTGCTCCTCACATCATTTAGCTCTAATCCCTTGTTTATCTCAGCTTGAGTTCCCTTATCACGTAAAGCTACTGTGTTATTTCAAGGTGGGATGCTGGAAACTCCAGTCGTGGGCTGTTGTGCATCTGGTATGTTTGTATGGGCAAGCTTTTCTGTACAGGATGTAGACTCTGGTAGTATCGTTAGATCACAGATAACCTATTGATTATTTTCAATTAAAAGTTTGGAGTCTTAAGTTTTGAATATCCAAACATACACGTATTAAACCTCTAAACAAAACTTCACAAATTAAAACTGCATGTGGTTGTGTGTGTGCATTTGTGCTCTGAGTTCACCACAGGGTTTAAAGCCAGTAAATCCCCACCTGTTCTGCTTCGACAGGTGTGTGTTTATAGCAACCAACATTAGCTCATGTAGCACAGCCTTCACATATTTCCCCACTCATACAATAAAAACCCATTGTTATTAACCAACCTTTGAGGCATATGACTTTCACACTACTGATGTTAGGCTCCTTTTAAATTGGCTCCCCGGATAATGAAGAGAAGAACAAATGGCTGAAAAAAAAAAGTCATGCACGTTTGTGGGAACTGAAGAGGGGGTTTGACAGTGGAAGAGATGTTGTTTAACAAAATGCAATTCCGTATTCTCAGATATCCCTTAGTGCCTGAGTATTTTAATAATTGTCTTTACTATAATAATATTTTACTATAAACTACTATCTTTTTATTTTAGTTTCTTATGTCATATGTACAAATGCATGTGATATGTATGTACAATATTTGTATGCCTTTTAGATTTCTGAGAAAATCCCAAAATGTGTCCAAAGACACCATATACATCAGGTTGAAATATACACTGGAAATCATTTGAAAATGTTATGAAATATTAATTAATTTGAATTATTTGTAATGCAACATTAAAATTGCCCAAATTGTTTATACTGTGACTTTATTAAAAATGGAATGACTTTTGTAAGGGGTTGCTATATAAACCATAATGTACATTGACTACACTGTGTATCTCTGTTAAATATAACACGAATCCCCTCTGACAGAGCTCATTTTCACCTCGCTTATTATCTGCACTGTGCTTTCCAAGAGACTTGCCTTTCTGATGGTTGTCTATGAACAGCTGCAGGTTTTCAACCCCAGTCGAGAGCCAACACTTTTGGCCAGGAAAACTGAGTGTAGCGCATCAAGTGCTGCTATATAAACTCTGAGAAATACTGATATTTATTATAAGCCAAAGTCAAGTTGAGGCGATACCATATCTTCCTCTAAAGTAAGCTTTTATTTCATATTATGTAATATATCATGGGCTAGATAATCGTACATTTCCATACATAGTTTCCAGCCACCATTTTAATGACACACTTTAGCAGGCTATAGAGTTGTCAAGCCCAGACAAAGCCTCTGTCGCCCCAGCAGTTGTCAACAAGAGGATCTGTGTCAATTCATTAAGCAAAAACCTTCTGGTTTCATTCATCACACACCTTATACACCATTTAAAGTATTTTAAAAAACATGGAAGAGCGTAATCGTAATCAGCGATGAAGAGATAGTAACATATAGTATTACTCGGTACAACCCCCCTTCCCTCCATGATGTGTTATAAACGTAGTCATTACTTTTAAGTGAAATATTAATCTTTAATCATTTTGAACATTTCCATGAAACATGATATAATTGGATGTGGCTGGATTCGTGTTGGAGGATTACAGCTGTTCCTTATTTTTTCCTGTCACAACATTTGATTTATATGTCTAGGGCAAACTCTAATAATCCTGCAAAAATAACATAGTTTGTCTGACCTTTGACTCTGGCTGATGCGAGGAAAATCCCGTGTCTGACGTGGGATAAGTCTTCATGGCTGCAGCAGGCAAGTATGATGCATTAGCTCCAGTGGATACATCTGTGGAAACCATTAAATTCAAAATTGTCTGCATCAGTCATCAAGTGCTCGATAAAGTTACATTTGTTGACTTCAAAGCTCCATTTTATAAATATTACCCACAAAGTGTATAATTTGAAATCATTATTAGACATAGTTGCTTTCTAGTTGTTCAATTTGTACTATTAAGGAACTAGAAAGCACTAGGTTGGAATAACAGAACTCAAAACATGCCAAAAAGCTAACAACTGACATCCAAGAATATTTGCTTTACTAGATGGACGATAAAGACAATGTCTTTGGTATTGTTGGTCTTTACAGTGTACAGTTCCTTATGAAATGGGTTAGAGGTATGTCTTTCTCATACAAACAAATATTAAGATTATTATTCATATTCTATAGACATAATTTGCATTTAACCCTAAAACTAGTTGAATGTACTGTCATTTTAATGATATGGCCCATGCTGCTGGATATGTAAAATAGTATAATGGGATTGTTCTCCTTGTTTCCAAACACTACATTCTTAACTGAAACAAGAATAAACATAAAGTTACATTTGTACCAGTAACTATAGGTTATCTGAGTGAAGACACAAACACTAACTAAAGGCTTCTCAAAAAGTTAGGCATCTCTTCAAGCTGTTTGCAGCCAACTATAGGTAGTTTGTCTTAAACCAAAAGGCAGTTGCCCTCAAAAGCATATTAAGATTTGGCTTAGTGTTGCTGTGCACCATATTTTGGATACTCTAACAGCATACATCAATGTGCGAAAATACACTGTGTCAAGTAATAAAAACATGCCGCCTCACATAACTCTAGAAATACTCCCTGACCACCTATCACTCACGTGTTTTTGCAAACAGAAAAACATCACTAACACTGAGAACAAAAAGAGAAACATGTGGTAACAAATATTTTATCCTACCTTGACTTGCAGAGGAGTAAACCATTGAGTTCGTCCCTCCAGCATTCAGACCGCCATCAGAAGGCCTACCGACAGAGTAGTGAACAGCTCCAGCTGATACCACTGCGGAGCTGCAACAATCAGAGAAGGCTGATTTTAGCTGCCTCTCCCCTGCCTTGCGCACTCATATCTTATGACAGAGCTCATATTCATAGAAAGATTAAGACTGCTACATATAGATCAAGGAAAAGCAAGATAAAATCCTTTCAACACTTGCTATAACAAACACATTTAAACACGAGCAAGGGGGGAAATGAAAAAAACATGGCCATGGATAACAATTAAAAACATGTTCACGTATTATTATCTTGACGAAAAAAAAAAAAGTGAAGTCATTTGCTTTAAGATTATTTTACGTTGCCAATCAGGAGTAAAACCAACATTTTGCAATTACAACCAAAGACGCACCTTTCATTTGCGTACAAGGTTCGGTTCTGTAGGTGTAGTTTTCCCTTCACGTGCTGGTCCCAGTCCTAAAACATACACGCACACACACCATATAAACAAAGTCTCAGAAAGCTTGGACAAACTGGAAGCTCGCTACGATGGTGGCTCTACCCTGTTGTATTGGTTATTGTATTTTATTTGTTTAATTATTTCTCTGTACAGCATTTTGGTCTGGAGGTTTAAAAGTGCTTTACAAATAAAGCTGAATTGTATTGTAATTATAGAGACAACATCTTGGATTTACTTACTTAGTAGCTGCCCCTCTAATCAACCATTTAGCTGTGGTATATTAGATATGTTCAGGCTGAAATGCTAGTTTCTTTCAAAGGACATTTACCATGTACAGTTATGTTTACAAATCAACCAAATCCTCATTCATTTACGTCCAAGCATTGACATGTCTATTGATTAGATTAGATTAGATTAGATTAGATTACTTTATTGTCATTACATACATTTCATTACAAGCAGAGGGGGGGTGGACGGAGACACAATGTATGGAAGCGCTCGTGAACTGTCAACAGGGGGGGGGTACACTGTGTGTGGACCTCTGTGTCGCCTGTCAGCGCAAATTACATGATGCCGTTTAGACAATATAATAATAAAGGGTGGTACCGGCCGTCAGCGAACTGATCCGGCCTTTCTGCGCAACTGTCACTCAAATGCGGGACATAGTCTCAATTTGTGGGATGCGGGACAAATAATAACAATTCTGTGTGTGCACAGTGCAGACCTACACACACACACACACACACACACACACACACACACACACACACACACACACACACACACACACACACACACACACACACACACACACACACACACACACACCTTGCGTTTTGAAGACTGATACATCCGAAATGGATGAACAAACTTTGCAGCCCAGTTTCCCAGCTTTGTAGTCTATCCACGGGTATGCCTCTTGTTTCCTCCGCAACATCTCCTCCGTCCATACCTCTGGGAAAGGTGAGCTTGAACGTTGCTCGCATAGCTAACGTTGACGTTAGTGCTAGCATTATCCACATCTTTAGGCGGCTCTTCTGATGACGTACTAGTAGCAGCTTCACTTGTAGCCTCGGTGCCGCTAGCCTCTTTCTTTTTGTANGGGGTCACGAGCGTGATGAGGAATCATCATTTTTTAAGGAAATCGTTTACATTTTTTATTATAATTACTGTGAAATATGCCTATTATGTTTTCGTCATTATTACAACAAATACACACTTGCAACTGATAACACTGGCAATTATTTTGTATTTATAAGACTATTAAAAAAAAATCATGCTTCAAATAAGTGGGGGTACAGCATACCCCTGCATCTAACGCCCACTACATCACTGACAGATCTATCAGCAGTCTGTACAAAATAAATGCACTATACAAATATACAAGTAAAGGTATATAGATGTAAGATGTATAAATACACTGAGGCGTAAACACAGTATATACATCAGTGTGCTTCAAGTATGATGGGTCCACTCACCTTGAGGTTGTAGACCTTCTTGTCACAGATGCTACACTGGTGTGGCAGTTGAGTGGGTGTGACGGCATGGTAATCATTGACTTGGTAAGGCTGAAGTGTCCTGGTACCTGAAGATAGGGTTTCATCACTTCCATGCAGGGGTTGGTAGCCCCCAAATCCCTGTGTACCACTTGAAGAAAGATGTGATTGTGGGTGGGCTCTGGGTTATACAGTTCTGTTCTGGACCAAATTGGCTGGCTGCTGTCCACATGTTGGCGGCATTAGGAACAATATCCACCTTTCCAGTGTGACTCAAGTTAGCCGGGCCCTTCCATTGCTCCTTGGAGTTATAAACATTCACCTTCTGGTCATTGACACTAAACCCAGCTTGTTGCCCCAGCATATCATGCCCATAGAAATCTCTCTGAAAACCAACATTGCTCATGTTTTTTGCCTGTGTGTTGATCATTGTGTATTGTCCATCACCAGCAGTGGCTGATGCTGTAGATGTCGCTCCACCTAAGTTGTACTGAACACGCCGGTCAGTGTCAGAAGGGTAAGTTGAGCCTGACGTTTTACCATACTCCGCACCTGTTGGCCCACTGTTCCCCCTCCCCAGGATGGTTCAGTTACATCTGCGGCTGGAAAGAACTGCCCGGAAATGTGACCCTAAATAAATGTCACATTGAGCACAAACACGCTCTTCAATTGTAAATCAAACCATATGGCGTGCAACTAAGTTTGATATCCAAGCTAGTTGCATGCCAAACAATTCAAACTGGAATAAAAATGAGTGCAGAAACAATGTCAGAGGAACCGATGGGACAGTTGGGTAACAAAAAAGTGTTATGTTCAGCTAAGTCAATACAGTTTACAAAAAAAATATATTACTGGAGACAATACTGGACCCTACCCATAATATCAAAGATATCTTCATTTATTCATTATACGTAACACGACTTCATTATCTGTATAGATTTGAAACTGCTCTATCTAGAAACTCCTTCTACCAACCGTCAGCCATGGAGTTGTGCATGCAGGGATACCGATGTACTGAATTATGGTGTGTATGATAATGTTTACACAGATCCTTCTTTAAGTGTACTGCACAGCAGGGGGGCAATTTTAATATGAAATTATGCAACTGAATCTTGTGGAAGATTATCACCTCCAAGTTTGTGTTCCTCCTGGCTTATGTAGTTGGGATGCGGTCATGCGATTACATTGCCACATCATAAACTCATCATATTACAACCATGACTTATACTCTAAGCCATACAGATCTATAAACCTGACTGTAGACATATGTTCCCCAAACAGACATAATAACAGACATAATATTATATTATATTAATTAATACGTTTTTAAGGTTGTGCAATTGTAGTTGATCTATACAACTCAACTTTACAATGTGATATAATCGAAAACATGTTTCTCTTGCCTTTAGCATACTTGAACCATTTAAAAATGCTGAACATTTTTGGCAGTGTTGTACAATGATTATACATTTTTTTACAAACTAATTTGAAGATGAGGGATCACATCTTAGGTGTTTTTGTTGGTTAGGTTAACATACAAAACAAAAACATAAAGACACATTACAATTGCATCCCACATTCGAAGGAGTTACACATGTAATTAAGATTATTGACTCACTTTTGACAATTGACAGTTCCAAGTTTCACGGCTGATTGTACACACTCTTAAGTGAGTAAGCATGCTGATGGACAGATACACTTACACCATTCCAGCTTATGACTCAGAGCTATAAATACAGGAGTTGTCCTTTGCCTTCCTGACACACACTGTCCTTAATAGACTAATAAGGACTCTTGGGCTACTGGCACACTGTGCTAAACACTTCATATCTATCTTGTGATGAAGATAGACACAAGAAGTGTCAAGGTGGATGGCGAGAGAGAAGCCTGCTAATGAAATCATTGGGAAACTGTGTCTTACTATGATTAAATCTTATTTTGCAAATGTCCACACGACCTGGAGACATACCTTCTAAAACTGCAGTGGAATTTAACTCTTTGAAAGAACATAATAAACCTTGTGTTAATACAATTACATTATACAGTATAAACTAAAATAGTTGCTCTTGGTGGAAAATGGCAAATTGATCAACTCAAGCGATTATGTCATTGGTAAACCAAAACCCGTTTACTTTCAATAATATTGAACCATCGCGTGAAGATTTGTGCAGTTACACTTTTGTATTGTTGCATCACAAAGAAAAACTGTTAAATATTTAACATTATTTACGAGATAAGAATATGCAGATCTTATTTATAGCTGTGGTTTTCGCCGTGTTAGCTTAAAAGCTCAATACAAATGGTATCAATTGATAGTAAAATGTACACTATCCACTTTAAAATAGTGAGTGGTAGAATTTGCGTGTTTCCATAGATTAATCTATTTTAGTTTCAAACAAGAATGTACATCTGTCCATTTGAGCGGAGTGACATTTTATGTTCTTTATGATTGGTCTAATTTTATTTTACCCAGTACAGACAAGCAATGCAACTTCTGTTGTTGCTAAATATACCTGTTCAAACTTGTTTTCTTTTTCTTTGACCAAGATACTACAAGAACATTGTAAATTGTAAATGCTTACATTGCTTTGATAATATGATACATTTATGCAAACATATAATTGAACTTTCAATACATCTAAATAATTTAAATATCATGAAGAAACGGCTGCAATATTTTTAAATTACTCCTAACTCCAGTCTGCTCCCGAGAAGCAGTTTTGTCATCCAAAACCAGTCCGAGGAGAGTCTTAGCCTTCTAAATTAATAACAAAACAAGCTATTATGTCAAGACTCAAGACTCCACCCGACTAAAGGTAACAATATTAAGTGAACATTTACTGGAAACAATTGGCAATTAATACAGACGTGGCTTACTGCTGCATCATTCGGTTGGGAGAAAATGAAATTCTTTGGGATTAAATACAGACTAAGTGTAAACAATAAACAGCTCAAATTAACACCAAAACATACTGATGGACAATGGTTTGTTGAACAAGTCTTATTCTAAGCCACATTGTTTTGATAAAAGTAAAATAGCCACCCGCCCCACATGCACACACTCACTTTGACAAAGCTCAAAGACAGCTCCGTAGTCATAACAAAACACCACATGGGCCCAATCAGTCCTCAGAGCCTCATTGTAGGAAGTAACAAATTAGAAGTAGGATTTGAGTCCTGCTACAGGATGGCCCTCCATCAAAAACATCCAACAAAATATTCCACAGTCCAAACATGTTGCAGCACCACAAACGGCTATAAACCTGCCTCTATGCAGAACCCCCAACACAGCACAGCTGACAAGACTTACCAAGAGATACACTGAGCGAGGTCCCCATACACATCTGACTCTAAACTCTGCACTGCTTTTGCCTGACCTCTGCCCAGGAGCTGAGTATGACGTATATCTCTACCCTCTAACAGGACGACTAATGCTAGCACATGTACAGTAGCATAACATCACTGCTAGCGATTTTCACCCGATTTTGAGTGGGACTTTGTTCCCCTGTGTTACTGACCACTGGAGAGACAGAGGAGACTCATGTGATGAAAAGTCACAAGTGGTCAGCATGTGTGTGTGAGGACGGGGGTAGATATTTACAGACGAGGCCTTAGGGTAATGCTGTGCAACCATGAAGCTGTTACTTTGGCCCCACATAAAGTTTAATGCAGAGTCGCCTGTCAGGTTCAAGGCAGTAGAGAACGGCAACTATGTAGCAAAATTACCACTGACCAACATTAATACCAAATCCATCTTTTGAAGTAACACATTTAATAAAAATCTCATCATTATGTTTAGGGGATCGTTCCTGCGCCGAGATAAAAAAACAAAAATCCTCAGAATGCCTGGTGAGTTTTTTGACACAAAACATAAGTCATTCTCGCCTGGTTTAAACAACTACTATGAAATGTACATCTGAAATGTATTAACTATGTTCAAGTTTCAAGTTAATATGTGAGGTTTCTGTGCTTTTAATATTTCAGTAACACTTTCTATGACGCCCATGTCTATGACAAATTATAAACACATGTATTACTTATTGTCTTTTATCTGTATTCATATTGTCATTATCAATCACAAATATGCACAATGCTTTATTTCAATAATACAACTACATAATGTATAAGGGGATATGAATGAGTGTATCGCATATTTAGTTACAAGATTGAAATTCAAATATTTAACACACTCATTTCTAACACACAAGCTATGATGATATTTGGTTGACTAAAAGATGTATTGTGTGTTTCTGTGTTCTTAAGTCCCTTATTGCCTTGTGTATATTGTATCACACCCAGTCGGCAAATACACACAAGAATTAAGTTCGAGAGAAAGAAAGTATACGTGATGAGCAAAACCATGTCACTTGGCCCAGGGGTTCCACAGAACGCAAAATGTTAAAGTGTTTGGCAAATGTTAAAGTGTTTCGACACTTGTACATTTGTCTCTAGCTTTGTAAAAGTGTTTCGCATCTTGTTTATTTGTTTTTGTTATGTTAAATCGGCAACCACAATGCAAAGGGTCTGACAAAACTCTTATTCCATGGCCCACTAGGTGGGGCCACAAGGCAATGTTCACAATGCTTTTTTCATACTGGGATTGTTCAACTTATATATGGACCGAGTGCTCATTGCAGACAACAAATGGACAGACATATGTAAGAGAGAAACATGCATACAATTTCACATGAACTTCAGAATATGTGACTCAAGACACAAATCAAGAGGACACCATGCAACTCTAACTCTTCCCAATTATGGCAAAACAGTTACTGACATTCCAGATCCTTAATTTAACTTTTCAACAAATCAGACACGTAGCTGTGCCTGCATAGTCGACACATCATGCCATGAGGGATGGTTTCATGGGGCGAGGTATGGGTGAGGAAGCAGGGTCAGCTTGCTCCACATTTGGCACAGTGCAAATGGGAGGTTCCTGATTTATGGCACTCTAGCAATGGGTGAGGTATCTTAGGGAGACACGGTCTGGCCCCTCATGACCACCATCAGGCTGGCGCATGAACATTAAGGCATCAATTTGATTCTTCTTATGTTTCTCTGATGAGGGCTGTAAAAGTCAATTATAGGGTCAGTCAGTCCTGGCCTTGGCCTCAAATAAACCTATAAGTTTACATGTCTCACATTAAGTAATTCATCAACTTACACACAAAAACAGGTTAGACCAAATACCGAAGTGTTTTTATAGCTACAGCTGGACGGGGACATCAGAGAACCATCTGGCTTGTCAAAAATGCTGCCAGGAAAAAGAATGATGGCGGGGGGAGTATACACTGCCTGGGGGTTTATCGCACAATCAAAAAACATTTTGTTTAAGAAACAATCACTAATTGTTATTTGCAGCAGCTGCA